ATTGCTAGTAAATAAGATGTATGGCAAGATAAAAACAACAAAATAGACAATCCTAATCAAAGACAAAACACATGTAAATCAAACACACTATTCACACATGCACCCTTAGGGTAATCACGTCTCGTTGCCCCTTTCAGAAAATAGTCATGTCCCTCGAGCATGGGCGTTTTGGCAAAGACCCTCGATAAAAGATCGTAGTCCCTCAATGACCCTCGATGTTGCCTTCGGTAAACGATCTAGTCCCTAAAACGAAATTTCTAAAACGTTCCATATGTTGCCTTTTATGACTATACAAACGTCCCAATGCCCGTCCCTTCACATCCAATGATGGGGCTTCTTACCAAATCAATGGTAAGATAGCCACATCTAAAGGAGGAGGAAAAGCACATTTAAGACCTTTTGAGTAGGTAGATTCGCTCCTAGTTACTCGCTTGCTCACAACAAAAACATTTTTATACACTCACACTCTCATATTTGAACTATTTTCGAAACAAACACTTTGTATGCTTTCTTATAGAAACGAAAATCGTTACAAAGTTACATTTTCAAAATACTTTCAAAAACACATCTCACAAACACACCTTTGAACTATTTTCGAAACAAACACTTTGTAGGCGTTCTTATAGAAACGAGAACCATTACGAAGTTCCATTTTCAAAAATACTTTCAAAAAACCACACACACAAAGTACAATTTCAAACAAAAGCAAGTGATCTAGCAAGTAACTAAGAGCCCATGGAAAACCATGGATGAAAAGGGTGCTAACACCTTCCCTTTTCATAATCTACCCCCCGAACTCAAGAAAACATCTCAAAGGTCTTTCCTGTGCTTTTTCACCTTTCTTTTTGGATAAAAGAAAAGTCGGTGGCGACTCTTGCTAACCGTGACATTTGCGATATAAACGCAAAACTTCAAGTCAGTTCTCCCACCGCATCACACTTGGTTAGGGCCAACTTCGTCAGAGGGGAAGGCATCCTCCTCGATCTCTTTCACTTTGCGAGTGTTACGACGAGGAGCGTCGTTCTTCTTGTACTTCCCGAGTCTCCCTGCCGTAATGAGGGTCTCAATGGCATCCTTCAGGTGGACGTAGTCCTTGGTAACATGGTCGTGGCTCCAGTGGTAGTGACAATATTTAGTCATGTCGACCCCGGGCTTGGAGGGTGTAGGTTTAGGCCGACGTACCGCGCCATCCCTGAATTCAGCATTAACACACTCAACGAGGATGCACTCGCGAGGGGCGATCAAAGGAGTGTAGTCGGTAAAGCGCCTGGCTGGTCTTCTATGCTCGCGAGGGTTGCGAGGCTTTTCATCCCATCTCTTATCTCCAGGTCGTCGAGATGATCATTCATCATTGTGCCTAGAGGAATTGGGTGCTTCACGGTTCCTGGAGTCACAGACATTATTGGCGGTCTCCTTCTACTCATACGTGATATAAGCTCGGGGTTTATGGAGGAGATGATCAAATAGCCCCGGGGGATGGATGCCAACTGCTTTATGAAAATCGCTTCTCGGGAGAAGGCATTTCTCGAGAAGATACCTCTTTATGCGGTCAGTGGTAGGGACCTGAATGGCCTTGCAGTTGAACCAGTCAATGTACGCTCAGAGAGATTCGTCGATTCCGTGGATGATCGCTTCAAGGGACACCTCGGTTTTAGGGTGACGCTGAGAAGTGGTAAAGCTGCTGGAAAACTGGCTCTTCATATTTCTCCAGGAAGTGATGGACTCGGGGGGAAAGGCCTTTGTACCAGTCCATAGCAGTTTTCCTCAAAGTCGTGGAGAATAACCTGCACTTGATGGCACCCTCGATGTTGTGGAATTGGAGCATTGCCTCGAAGGCATCAACGTGGATGTCGGGATCCGTTGAGCCACCATAGTTGTTTAGAGGTGGAGATTTCTCCATTCTCTTAGGGATATGAGCCTCCATAATATCTTGGGATAGCAGACTGTATGGTTCATCTTCATCGATCTCCGATTCTGGAGACCAAGATGGGGATAAGTCGTAGCGGTGTTTTCTATGGCGAGGAGGAATCCTTGGCCGAGTTTTCTTCTCTTCTTTCCCTTTTCCCTTTTCAAGAGATGGGGAACATAGTCCTTTGCAAAGATGGGTACGGTCGCGCTTCTCGATGATTTCCTGTTGGGTCCTCTCAAATCGGGGGCGTCGCCTAGTACGGAGGGGAGAAGGACTACGAAAATCTCCCCTTTGGTGTCTCTGTGGAGGAGATTGTGAACGGGGCTCTTGTTGTTGAGCAGATGAGGTGTGCGAGTCAGGCCTCTTGTGTCTTTTCAGAGACCTGTAGGTTTCTAGCATCGTAAGGTGTTCACCCTGCGCGAAGAGCATATAGTTGGTCTAATTGAGCACCGCAATCAGAGCCTGGGTTGAGGGATCGACATTATCGGGCACTGATATTTCCTAGTACACCGCGAGTGCTTAACCTGCTGGTGAGGGTTATCTAGAGAATGCAGTTGAGTGGAAGAAAAAGTAGTTCTTCTATCTCTAAGGTCGTGCTCGTAGATTCCCATGTCGTTGTTGTTACCTAGGTCAGAGAAGTGGGTGTTCTGGTGATTGTTGTTTGCTTGAGCAGACATGATGATCACGAGGTTAGAAGTTTGCTTTGATCTTCAGTTAGTACAAGATAGGGAAGCAATTTCCCACAGACGACACCATTGATCGTACCTGATCAGAAGAGATCGTCGATGACCCATAAGCGGGAATTGGATGGTTGTTGAAGTGAAGTGGGGGGTGAGTACCTGCAAGACACTCTAATGCAAAAGTAAGGTTCAGAGTAAGTGCAAGTAATAAAAGTGTGCAGAATGAATTAATTCCTTACCTCTCAAGTGAGAGGGTAATTATAGCCCCCAACGCTGGGCAAAAATCCATATTTTGGGCTAAGTAGTTAGGCCCAATAATTAAGACTGTCAGGGTTACGTGAGTAGTAAAGTCCAGCATGTGACCTCCTTCCTGGTCATCTTCCCCGAGTGTCATATCCCAAATTTACCCGCCCTTTATTTCTACGATAAAAAAATATTTTCAAACATTGATTTTATAATATTCTTCGATTTTTATAAATAATTACTTCCAAACCTATTTAAAAATATAATGATTTATTTTAGATCATTTGTATTTTTGAATAAACAAATACTTGCTCGTCTTCATGTATTTTCAATTGGCTTTTTATTTCGAATAAGTAACATAGCACAGTCAGTAAAGAATGAAGCTTACAAGTATGAGGTCAAGAGTTTGAATCTCTTGTATTGCACTTTTATTGTTGTTTATATCAGACAATAATCAACAAAAGTCTAATGATTTCATACGAGCCCTCCTTCTTTTTTATTTTCAAATTTTAATTTGTTTTCTATTTTAACCACAAGATGATCAATATTTTTTGTTCTCTACACAATATTAGGGGTGTTCGCGGTGCGGTTTGGGCGGTTTTGAAGCAAAAAATCACCCGAACCGCAAGAGAAAAAAACATGTGGTTCGGTTTGGTTCGGTTGGCTTTTAAAAATAAATCCGAACCAAACTAAACCAAACTAATGCGGTTTGGATTAGTTCGGTTGGTTCGGTTTTTTTACAAAAAAAATTATTAAGTCATACAAACAAATATAGAGGAAAATATAATTTTGTATTTAATTGTTCGTACATTACCATAAAAAAATTTATAATTGTCAAAATAAGTTTATAATTTGATACATAAAATTGCGTATTATAATTTTATCTAAATCTAAAGAATGATATAAACAAGATTGCATTCTTAAATAAATATTATACAAAGAATACGATAAAATATATTTTGTGAAAATGATATTTATAAATGAATAATATTTTATTTTTTTATGATTCATAAATTAAAATGAATATAATACAAAGTAGGCAAAATACCCTTTTTAGTCCTTTAAGTTTACCCCAAGTTCCATTTTGGTCATTTATCTAAAAAAGTGTCAAACTGGTCCTATAATTCTTTCAAAAGGACCATAGGAGTCCTTTCCGTCCATTTTGGTCCTTTTTGGTTCATTGGAGAAGCTGCAAAATGAGCTTGATGGAGCAAAGATGGAGATACATCATCTAAAGAAAAGGGAGGATGGGCTGAAACATAAGATAATGGAGTTACAAATTGAAATAAAGAAGGATGGGCTGAACCAAAAAAGACCAAAATGGACGGAAAGGACTCCTATGGTCCTTTTGAAAGAATTATAGGACCAGTTTGACATTTTTTTTAGATAAAGGACCAAAATGGATCTTGGGGTAAACTTAAAGGACTAAAAATTGTATTTTGCCTACAAAGTATTATAAAATATACACATAATACATATTTATTTCTCTAAAGAATTAAAGAAATATATATTGGTTAGTAAGATTTTATAACATAATGCGGTTTTGTTTGGTTTGGTTCGGTTTATAAAATACAAACCGCAAACTGAACCGAACCGTACGGTTCCGCGAGAAAATGACCCAAACACATCCGAACCAAATGGGATTTTTTGCGATTTCGATTTAGTTCGGTTCGATTTTACGATTTTCTATTGGACCGGTTTGGTTTTGAACACCCCTGTACAATACACTTTCATCCAAAATAGATCACTTTTTTTTCCAGAAACATTCCATTTTTTCTCACCCACTTTTTGTAGAAATTATCTAACATAACATGTATAGTAACGTACAAACAAATTTCACGAACAATCTCCAAAACATTAACCTTCAATTTTACCAACATGAACAACAAAATAAAGAAAAAAACATTAACACAATCTCAAACCTTCAACAATCTCATCCATAATCAATACCAAATCAAACCTGGAAAACAACATACAAAAAAAAACTTTGACAAAATTCACAACACCACAACTTTTTCCGCTTCTTATTGACTTGATTTTGCAGGTGGCTGATTGAGATGGTGATTTGCCACTGCCCACATCTCCATTTCGTCCACAACAACTTAGAACCTCCAACAACCGAGTAGCTCATCATGTCGAACGACCCTCTCTGTCGCGCTCAACCGCATTTACACACCATCTGACGATAACCATGAACAACACCCTTCCCATGATCTACAAGCTTCAGCCGCGACTTCGACCATCCCAGATCTTCCGTGCAAAGCCACTGCGGTACATCTGAAATTTGTGCTGCCATGAACAACAATACCAACAGTCGCCTCTGTCATTCACGACCGTGGCGGTCATCCATTTGCAACTATTAGACTCCGCAGATGCACATCCTTTCCATTTCTAACCACCACCACACGCCTACCTCGATTTCGCAGCCGTCGGCCGCTATCTGGTAATCTTGTTCCTCTCATGGCATGTGTTGTTTCCTTGTGTATTATTTGTTTATTTTCTTTTAATTAAAATATTGCTAGGTGTAACATTTTGGTTGTATATGGATTATCATAAGTTCCATTTGAAAAAAGTAAAAAGAATAGCAAAGTAGAATGTTGTACCGTCTGATGTTTGTTGTTCTATTATTTATTTTTGTTTGACTTGTTTTTTTTCTTTATTTGTCAATTTATTTAATTAGATTAGTGTTCTACTTGTTTGATGTTTTGGGTCAACAATATTGGGCTTTTATTTCTCTATCATTGCTAATTTACACCACACTATCTGCTTGTGCGCCTTTGTTAATTTATTTTATTATTGTAATTGTTATTTATTTTATTTTAATTATTATTAGGGAAATAATACAAAAATAAAATTTTATTGACAATTTAGATTATTAGGATTAATTATATTTAGTTGGGCTCTTTAGATTAATCAATTTGTACATATTAAAAATTTCCTGAGTATTGCATTCCCTTGTAAACATATCTTAACAACAAACTGGTACATAAATTATCATTTTTTGCAATTAAATTAAGTCAATATTTTTACAAAGATATTAAAACCCACATAACTCACTGAATACTCTATAGCGAGCGACGTGTGGCCAATATTTGGCCACGTGATAAGGAGACTTTATCATACTCACCCCGCTCTACGTCTTACCATACTCTTTAATCAAATCGAAATTCAAAACAACTAATCAATAATTCAAATATTTTTTACTAACATAATCAAATTCAAGAACATTTTTGAAAAAGGATTAAGGGGAATTCTTATCGAAATTGACTACGAACTATGTCTACGCTCACTCAATTTTCAACCCAGACAAGGTTCAAGGATAAAATTGAAAGCAATTCTACGCGATCCTATAAAAACACAAACAAATATCGCGAACTACGAATTGAGACTTTGATTCCTCATGAGAGGATACGTAGGCATACGACTAAAATCGTGGCGAGTTCCCCTATTAAAAAATTAAAACCTTATTTCCTAAACCTTTAAAATCTAAACCCTAGTATCCTTGTGAACAAGGTATATAAGGGGTGCCTAACACCTCTCTTTCGTCTAAAAATGAGTCAACAACCTAAAATCTCTACCTTATTTAGGGTTAACCTTTAAATTCCCTTCCTTAGGATAAAAATTAAGGGTGGAGACTCTATATTTTTTGTCGATTATTACAGCTAGCGACTATGCTGGGGGCTCAACCCTAGGTTTAGAAGCCTTGTCTTTTGGTTTTAGGATTTTTTGGGTTTTTTTGTTTTTTTTTTATATTTGCTTATGTAATTATTTATTTATTTCTGCTTAGTATTTTTATTCATTATATTTATTCATCTTTGGTGGGATTTTATTATTTCAAATTTAGTTTTTCAAAAACCCTTAGAAAGAAGGCTCGTCTATTAGCCATGGGGATACATCAGCCCTATGAGTTTATGTGACGACTTCTCCTAGAGTCGATGGAATTCCGCGAAAGGAATACGTCTCAAGAGACATCCTCTTAGGGGTAGGACTTTGGAATGAAACATATGACTCTTTGTATAACCCTTGAACCAAAGTCTCATGGTGAGGCCTTTCATGACCCAGAGATGGAAGTTTCGGTTTGTAAAAAGGCTCCACTTAAGGGAGGCATTTGTGCCTCTCCCTCTGGTGTAATCCATGACACCCTTAAGGAAACCACCTTATAAGGAGGGTAGAATATACGTAGGCCAAAACTAGGAACCTACCAACTAAGGTTACCTTTTATAATCCCATTTCCACTATCCTAAACCCGTAAGGGTTAACTTCTATCTATTATAATCCCTAGCCTATAGGGATTTCCCTTGTTTGTTACAATCCCTATCCTGTAGGGATTTCCCTTGTTTGTTACAATCCCTAGCCTATAGGGATCGCCTTTAGTCTGTCGGCGTCCTTAGAATCTTAGGATCTTGACCTCCATAGGTTAATAGGGAACCTTTCCATGAAGGACGCCCTTGATAATGCACGTTGTGTGGCCTATATCGGGCCATGGGATTTGGTGACCATGGACCGATCACCATGTGCTCTCTTCCATGCTATTCCATTAAGTCTGACCTTCACCTTAACTATCCATTGGGCTGTCACGGTTCCTGACCTATAGGAATTCCCATCCCTCTGTTACAATCCCCAGCTTGTAGGAATCCCTCTTTGTTTTTTTTTCATTGCCCATAATCCTTAAGGAGTTCCTGTCTGTCTCAATCTCTTAGTCAGTGTAGCATATCCTTATTCCCATGTTTTCATTATCTTCGTCCTTAAGGATTTCCCGCTTGTCTCAATCTCTGAGTCAGTGTAGGATATCATCATATCTATCATTAAACACGTATAGGGTACCCTTATGTTTACCTTCATACTACGTTTGTGTCACATATCCATGAAACTTTTTTTGCATACCCTTAAAAAACCAAGAAATATTTTTGGATACCCATGCATTCACATACATTCATACATTTTCATCTCATGAATTTCTATCTTCTCCCTTATCCAACTATCATCCATATGCTAGTTGATTTCTTGGTACTTGCAAACGAACTTAAGAAAGTCTGAAACTATGGAAGAAGGAGGTTATCTATTGGAGACTCAATGGAGCTTGGTCCTACAAGTCTTATTGGAGAGAGAAGGCATCCATTCACAATGACAATTACAGGCCTACACAACACCTCAAATGCCATAACCATTGGTGATTCCTCTACATCAAGAGCAACTGCCCTACCAACGAAATAGGTAGGCCCAAGAAAAGTCAATGGTCATCCGCATGCTTTAACAAGTCCAAGAGCATTCATAATCTCTCTTAAAGTCAAGTGGATCAAACTATAAATCTCTTTGATATGATCATTAGACATTATCAATTTCAAATTATAATTTCAAGGTTGTTAAGTTGTATTTGGTGTGAACTTGTATCTTTGGATTAGTAATTCTAATAAAATGATCATGCATGTTTTTAAAATCAATTCATACATTTTACTCTTCATCTTTCATCACTTTCCATAAATAACCAAATACTTTCCATTTCACTTTTCACTCTTCCATTCTCAATCTTCTTTAACAAACTTCGAGGGAGAATGACGAAAACTAAATAACAAAGAATTGCTAACGTATTCTTTCAATGGCAAGACCGAGCCGATGATGTAAGGCATTGTTTTATTGGGCTCTTTAGATTAATCAATTTGTACATATTAAATATTTCCTGAGTAATGCATTCCCTTGTAAACATATCTTAACAACAAACTGGTACATAAATCACCATTTTTCGCAATTAAATTAATTCAATATTTTTACAAAGATATTAAAACCCACACAACTCACTGAATACTCCATAATGAGCGAAGCATGGCCAATATCTGGCCACGTGATAAGGAGACTTTATCATACTCACCCCGCTCTACGTCTTACCATACTCTTTAATCAAATCTAAATTCAAAACAACTAACCAACAATTTAAATATTTTTTACTAACATAAACAAATTCAAGAACATTTTCGAAAAAGGATTAAGGGGAATTGTTATCGAAATTAACTGCGAGCTACGTCTACGCTCACTCAAGTTTCAACCCAGATAAGGTTCAAGGATAAAATATAAAGCAATTCTATATGGTCCTATAAAACACCAACAAATACCGCGAACTACGAATTGAGACTCTGATTCCTCATAAGAGGATATGTAGGCATACGACTAAAATCGTGATGAGTTCCCCTATTAAAAAATTAAAACCCTATTTCCTAAACCTTTAAAATCTAAACCCTAGTATCCTTGTGAACAAGGTAGATGAGGGGTGCCTAACACCTCCCCTTCGTCTAAAAACGAGTCAACAACCTAAAATCTCTAACTTATTTAGGGTTAACATTTATATTCCCTACCTTAGGATAAAAATTAAGGGTGGCGACTTTATATTTTTTTCCGTTTATTACACCAAGATAATAGGGAAGTTGAATTCATTATTCTCGGTGGGCAGGATGGTGGTTTAGGATAGCCATTGGCCATATTTCCCTCGTGGACATGTGGGGTCATCTCCAACGGTTATTGACTTAGGCTGGATGCTATTGGGCCATAGTAGGTGTGCTGGACTAGAACTGCGGATAAGTACAAATTGTAGCTATTTTTGTATATACTTTTTGTTGCACTTATTGACTCTTTGTTGTTAATATCGGTTGAATAAATACAAATTTTATGTAAATAAGTCCGGTTTGTGTATATTCGTGTTTTCATGTACAAAGTGTATCATTGATTAGTTTTCTATTCATTTTGTAGGTATTTGAGTATGGTTGGAGCAATTAGAACTAAAAACTTCAAGATGCATTTTTGATCAATAAAGGAATAATGCAAAAAAGAAGCCATTTAATGTTGTGCAGAGAAATAAACAAAAGTTACTGGACTGGTGTGCAATATCAAGCGATGTCCGGGTGATGAGGATCGTGTATGCATCACCGGAAAATAGTGGAGCGATGAGTTGAATTAAATCTTTTGCATTGCTTCGCTCCTGTGTCGCTGGGCGAGAAATAAGGATGTCACTGGGCGAAGGATTCTGTCGCCGGGTGATAGAAGATATTTTTCTCAGTTGCGTACAAGGATCAACTTGGGCCAAGTGTAATAAGGTCGTCGTTGGGCGATGCTTTTATATCGTCGGGTGACACGTGCAGATCAGAATTTATTTATATTTCCTTTTCATTTCATTTTGGATGGTTATGGTTTTAGGTGTAGTTTTTGATCTCCCAACTCCATAAACCACATTTTTATAGTGGATTAACTTAGATAACAACTATGGAGCTTGCATACGGATGATCCGGAATGGATTGCTCTTTGATCGGTGTTGATAAAATGGGAGATTTGTGGTTGATTTTTCTTCTTCTTTGTGTTTTCTATTTTATTTGGGTTTATATATGTTTTTACTTTGATCTTATGTATATTTGTCGCTCATGGCGTTAAATTTAATTTTCTTTACAAATCTTTGTCGATTATTGTCCTGGACTTTTGC